TTTTAAGCAAAGTCTTTCACATTTGTAGTTTTGAGGCTGCAAAGTGTGGAGACTTGCTGCTTTTTCATGTCTTTAGGCTACCTTTTTTTTAATTGTTTTTTGTTTTTTAGCAATGGAGATCTCTTTAGCTCTATCTTTGCAGTCTACAGCTTTACTGGAGCTTTTTTTTTTTTTTTCTTGGCCAAACTCACAACATTTAAAATCATCTGAGCTGGGGATATAACTCAGCAACACAGCACCTGCCTGGCAAGCGCAAGGTCATGAGTTTTATTCCCAGTACCAAATAAAATAAAATCATCCTACTGGGCTCTTTGCTCTTGAATGCTATGCCACCACCTCAACATTTGACTGCCTTGAAATTTTTTTGCCAAATTAATTAGTCTACCGCCCTTAATCTCAGTCTCAGGCAAAATCTCTGGACACAAGCAAAATGCAGACAAACTTTTTGTCAAGCCATAACATATATCATCTAGACTCTAACAACCACTGCAGTCCCTTTTTTTAGCAGAAACCTCTCGAACTAGGTTTTTATCAGCAGGACTTTTATCAGCCTTCTGGTTTTTTGAGCTCTGACCAAAATCTCTCATACAGAACAGCCAAAGGCACTGTAGCACTTTTTTTTTTTAGGTGAAATATCCAAACCTTTTAAAACATTTTTTGCAAGCCATCTTTAAAGGTTCTTGAACCACATGGTCAGGTATACTCACAGCAATGATCCCACTCCTGGTACCAAATTTTGTCTTGGTTACTTTTTTTGTTGTTGAGACAAAATACTCAACACTCAAACTTAAGGGAGGAAAGGTTCACTTAGCTTACAATTTGTGGAGGCTTTAGTCTAAAATCAGCTGGCTCCAAGGCCGGGTGGCAGAGCACAGGGGCAACACTTTAAGGTGGCACAAGACAGCAGAAGCAAAGAGAGCAAAAAGGGGAGGGAACAAGCCTCTTTTCCCTCCTTGTATTGTTTGCAGGCTATCTGCCCACACCCGCACCATCTCCATGCCCTCCTCTTGCACAGGTCAGGATGTAGAACTGTTGAATCACTTAGCCAAGGCTCTAGACTCCTCAAGTTGACACAAGGTAATCAACCATAACACCTGGTATCTCAAGAGGTGGCTGTCTGTGAATGAGAGGCTTCCTTTGGAGACTGTGTGTGTGAGATCCAACCATCCCACCACACCTACCTCTCTCTCTACAGAGAAGTGAGGCTCCATGTTGGACACCAAAGACCCAATCAGTTTTTCCCTCTGGGCTCTTGAGGAATGGGCTGACAGCACAGTAGTGGGGAATGAACTAGGTGTGGTTTATTAGAAAGAACAAAGAAAAGCTCTGTCTAGCCGAGTGGGGTTCTGATAGAGGACACCATGGAAGCATCTACATCTAGGGACTTATATGCAGCCTTTAGCATGTGAAAGAGGCAGTTTGTCAGTGGCAGGTGTCACCAGATGCCAGGTATGTGGAAATGCAGGTATGCAGTTGCTGCTGTTGTAGGCTTCTTGTCCTCAGTAGAATATCCCTTGCATTGCAATTTCTTGAGGCTTACATATCTCAGTTCACTCATGCCTTCAGTTTACCCAGGACATTGTCCTAATCCTCCTACCATCCCTCTATCTCCTGGTCTCACTTTCTGATCTCACTCATAGTATTTCTGATACAGCTTTTGACATATGTACTAGAGAATCTCCAAAATGCCCAGACTGTTCCTCACGTCTTTGCTGGGTGGATGAACTATCTGGTGGATGAACCAGACGCTGCTTAAGGGCAATTAAGCAGAAGCAATCCTACTTAATTATGAGATTGTTGTTTCTTCTACCACAGGGACCAGTGGGATGGAGACCTACCCAGAGGAAGCAGAGCTGGAGGCTGAGTTCTATAGGACCACAACCTATGACTATGTGTTTGCATTGCCTTGTTTCAAAGTCAGCATCAGGGATTTGGGGGCCCAGTTCCTACCCCCACTGTATTCCCTGGTGTTCATTGTTGGCCTCCTGGGAAACATGGTGGTCATAGTGATCCTCACAAAGTACAGGAGGCTTGGAATCATGACCAACATCTACCTGCTCAACTTGGCCATTTCTGACCTGCTCTTCCTCTTCACACTTCCCTTCTGGATTTCCTATGTTGCATTGAATAAGTGGGTGTTTGGACATTTCATGTGCAAGTTCCTGTCTGGCCTCTACTACGTGGGCTTGTACGGTGAGATCTTCTTCATCATCCTGCTGACCATTGACAGGTACCTGGCCATCGTCCATGCTGTGTTTGCCCTGCGAGCCCGGACTGTGACTTTTGGTGTCATAACCAGTGTCATCACCTGGGGCCTGGCAGGGCTAGCTGCCCTCCCTGAATTCATCTTCCATGGGACCCATGAGCACTTTGAAGAATTTGTCTGTGGTCCTGTTTACCCAGAGGAGGAAGAAGACCACTGGAAGCGTTTCCAAGCTCTCAGGATGAACATTTTTGGTCTCGCACTCCCTCTGCTCCTTATGGTTTTCTGCTACACGGGAATCATTAAAACCCTGCTGCGATGTCCCAATAAGAAAAAGTACAAGGCCATCCGGCTCATTTTTGTCATAATGGTCGTCTTTTTTATTTTCTGGACACCTTACAACCTGGTTCTCCTTCTCTCTGCCTTTGAAGTGACCTTGTTGAACAACTGTGAGCAGAACAAACAGCTGGACATGGCCCTGCAGGTGACAGAGGTGATCGCCCACACCCACTGCTGTGTCAACCCCATCATCTATGCCTTCGTGGGAGAGAGGTTCCGGAAATACCTGCGCCACTTCTTCCACAGGAATGTGGCTGTGCACTTGAGCAAATACATCCCCTTCCTCCCCAGTGAGAAACTGGAAAGAAGCAGCTCCATTTCTCCATCATCGGGGGACCCAGAACTCTCCGTTGTGTTTTAGATCTGGTGCAGAAAGCCTCCTAAAAATGGACTGGGCAGGAAAAGCAAATGCATAGTTAGCTGCATTGATCTCTCGGCTAGTCCTCTGAACTTGCAGCACAAAGCTGAAGCTCTTGAAGTCGTTACAATACACACGATGGTGCCAGCGTGTGCCCACTCCAAGGTCATCACCAGAGGCCACAGAATGGGCAGTTTTCTCATCAGCCAAGAAGACCCCTGCTTGATTCCCTGAAGAGCTACCTAAATTTTAATGCACCTGTTAGATAGCTGTTATGCTTGGCCCCAAACAAGTAACATATTTTGTAACTTAGAGCTTTACTTCATCCAGCTATTAACATAAATGACACATTGCACAGAATGTAGTATGTTACCTGCTTTTTTCCTGACATGCTTCACTCTTTCTCTGCTTTACGAAAGGCTCTTGTGTGTTTGTATGTAGGAGGGGTTGTATGTGGATAAATATTCCCAAGCAACATAATAGCATGCCACACCAGTTCTAAATATTCTTAACAGATCATTATTTTCCTGTTTATACTAAATGACCAGATTTCTCATGAGTGACTCCCACAAGCCAGAGGGTGCATGCTGTCCTCTTAAATACCAGTCTCTTGAGGCAGAGCAGGTCAAGGGCCTCCCCTGTACATGAGTGCCATGCATGGACGGGGGAAAGGTTAGGCTCAAAAGGGCTCAGTGGCTGTCGGCTTTGCCCTGGGACCACACTTTGAAAACTACTGCTCTGGTCAAAAGGCTCCTAGAGACACTCAGACTTATCACTGAAACTAAAGATTTCATGATAGTCAGAGGGAGATGCCAAAGGCTCCATGGATGTAGTTGTGCTAAGGATAAAGAACAGTCATCATGGTGCACAGCTGCTATGTCATCTCCACAACCAGGTGGTCTAGTGGGGATTTCTAGTCCTCCAGTTTTACTCAGCTGAGCTCTCCATGAGTGTCTGTATTTCATACCGTGTACTAGAAGCTGCGGGAGACACAAAAATGAATGGAACTTGGGTGAGGTACATCCTAAGGGGAGGAAATTCAACTTCTAATGTAAAAGTATTTTTTAAAAGGAATGGCCCTCATTTCCCTTTCTTCCTGCTGCTTATAGCTTCTTGGGAAAGTAAGTTCTAAGTTTCTGTTTAATATGTGCCTCTTACTAGCAAGCACATGTGACAGCGTCAAACGAGCCCACCAGCTATTCATTCAGCTGTCAGGTGACAGGGACGCAGGGCACGCACTGCTTTAGCTTCAATGAAGATGCAAAAATATAAGACAAACTACGACAGCTGTGCTTGTCAACTTGATCAGTTTGGGAGCTACCCAGGAGATTCTCAAAGCACATTTCTGAATGTTTCTGCATGGGTCATGGGGGGTGACCTGGGGACTACATCTGGTCCTTTGTTTATTTTTCTCTGACACTTCCTCTGTTTTGCTTCCTCACCTCCGTGAACTAAATAGCTTTGCTCTGCCATGATATTCTGACTTACAGCCAGCTGATCATAGATGGAATCCTCTGAAACCACCAGCCAAATAAGTATCTACTCCTTTAACTTGTGAGTGTCATGTATTCTTTCCAGCAATAAGAAAGCAGACTAATATTTAAAAATTAGTACTGAGAGTGTAGTTGTTGCTGTATCTGTATCTGACGATGTGGTTTAGAAGCCTTTGGAAGTGGTTTGTGGGAGGAGTTTGCATGGGTTTGGAGATTTGACCTAGAGAAGCCCTAAAATGCTATAAGAGCTCGATGGGTAAGATTGATAGTAAAATGCTGTAAGAGCTTTATGCTCAGTGCTCTGAGAATCAGAATGCTGATGGGAATGCAGATAATAAAGGCCAGGCTCAGGAGGTTTCAGCTGGGAATGAGGAACTTATTTGGAAGGAGACTAAAGGCCATGAGTGTTACACTCTGGCAGAAAAATAATTACTGTGTTTTGCTCATATCCTGAGACTCTGCACAAGGCTGAGATAAAGGTGGTGGACTCACTGATCCAGTGGAGGAAATTTCATAGCAGCCCAGTGCTCAGGCTGTGTTATGAGTACTTCTGTCTGATTTATAGTGAGAATTAGGAGAGCAAATTGGGAGAGCAAAAAGCAAAACAGAAATATTTGAAATTGGTAAATTTTAGCCTGAAGGGGACCATGCATAAAGAGATTGGTACCATGAAAACACAAAAACAAAATAAAATATAAAACCCAAATATTTTTAGCATGGACAAAAAGGAAGATTTTAGGAATCAGCAAGGCCCCCCGCCCCACCACACACACAGGCTCAAGGTGCAAAAGTGTAAGGCTGTCATTTGAAAAGAGAGTCTCTGGAATCCCTGTTACAGAAGCATCACGTAGTGAATTGGTTCTCCAGGATTCCACTTCATGGTGCTCAGCCATCCAGGCAGTCAGAAGTCACTGCAGCCATGGTTCAAGGGGTTCTGGCTACTGCTCATACTGGTGGCAGACCAACGATGTATTTGTTGGGTATTTTGTCCAGGAACTGAAAACGAACTAATACATAAACACAGTCCCTACTCTCATTAACCCTTCAGTCCAGTAGAAGGTACTGGATAAGAACAGATGATTTCAGTGCAAAGGGATAGACACTTACTGCCATGCCTGGGCCAGGAAAGGAAAAATCATTTCCAGTGGGAACTTGAGGGAAGAAAGACTTACTTCATGGAGGACACAGCCCCTGAGAAGTCTCTGACAAGCAGGCAGGATTTAGAAAGGGAAAGAATTTGGGGGAAGACACTTTAAGTCAAGGAAATGTCCAGCTGAAAGATAAGATAGGAGAATATGTACCTGTGTAGACAGTAGGGTGTGAGGGACAGGTGGTATCAGTCATGAATTTCATGCCAAAGATCATGGGCTTTGTTAGGAAGGAACAGGGAGGGTTTAGAGCAGCGGGGTAAAACCATAAGTGCTGTGCATTAGGAAGATGAATCTGGTAACATGTAGAGCATGGACCGGAGGACCCAGAACCACAAAGGTGGTTAAGTTAGAAGCTGAATGCAAACGTGGAGGCAAGGAACGAACGTGGCTGATAAGAGAAGTACAAGGAGCTCCCAGAGAACAATTGGACCACAAGATAGCATAAAGGAAGAGTCACAGCCCTAGGAGCAATATATGATTGATTATAAAAGTCAAAGGATAAGACAACATATTATGTGTGCACTGGTCAGCTTTGTGTTACTATAGTGACATGCCGGAGGCAATTCTCTATAAAAGACAAAAGGTATTTAGCTCAGGTTCTGGAGTCTAAGATCCAGCAGCACCACAGCTGTGGGCTTCTGGTGAGCATGTCAGATGGCAATATCAGAGAGCCCATATTGAAGTGAACCTCTTACATCACGAACCAGGAAGCTGCACAGAGAGATGCACCAGGGTCTACAATCCCTTTAAAGGGCAGCTGTCTGTGACCAAAGGATCTCCCCTAGGCCCAACCTCCTAAAGGTCCACAGCCCTCCCAGTACTGCCACCCTGGGGACCAAACTTTCAACACATGGAGGTTTGGGGGACACTACCTGATGGAGACCACTACAAAGTGGCTCTGAGCAGGATTTAACATTAAACAATTGGCTTTCCATGTTTACTTGTGAGTTGTCCGAAGCTTAGGCACCTTGTCTGGAGATGGGCAGTGGACTCATAGTAAGTAAACCTCTATGAGTCACTGGTCACTGCTGAGGCCTGTATTGTCCTGTGAAGCTGTGGTGATGCCTCAAAGTACAAGGTAAGGCCACAGCTGAAGATGTTTGACTCCAACTCCAATTAACTAAAAGGAGACTGCAGCTGCAGGCTTCACACTCCTACAATAAATGCCAACCTAAAGATAAGGTAGTTCTCCTGATTGACATAATTTACTACTTGGGAAAATATGTGCCAAGGTCCTGCTCATGTTTTCTTGAGTATCTCCCTCCTTTGTTTGAAAACCAAATAAATACAGGCTGCCCAGAAAAGTCTTTGTCTTAACCCAGAGAATGTCGAATTTTGTAAGAGAGTTGGACCCTCCTGGAGCCCTAAAATCATTTTAATTGTCTCATTTATTTAAGCCTTCTAGTCCACTCATTTGGGAGATTGTGGGCCTGATCAGCCCACAATAACTAAGAGTTCTTAACCTGATAACTACCCATATTCAAAGCCTATCAGTATATTTAAAACACATACATGCACACACACACACACACACACACACACACACACACACACACACACATTTTTCTTTGTACTTAGATGCACAGACCATCTCCTAAATGATATCAAAGAAACCAGTGGCAGTAGGTGCCTTGAGGAGGGACATGGGTGGTTGCAGAACAAGGCCAGGAAGGTGGTCTGTGCCTTTTGAATTTTGAGCCATGAGACACGTTACCTCTTCAAACAAAACCTAAGAATTACATTTTATAAATAAAATGCTATGCTGCTAGTCAAACATTCAGCTGTAGCATCTCACTCTTCAACCTGGTACAAATTCTTTGACTTCTTTTGACTCTAGTTTCTTCATCCATATAACAATGCAGCTGGATTAGGTCATTTCCATGCACCCGGTAGCCCAAGTAGACTGTGATCTTGCCAAAATAGTAAGAACTGGAGGTACATTTGCCATTGTCCACTAGGGTGGACTCGGGTGGCGCCTGCTTCTTGGGTCATATGCTTTCATGCATTCATTCATTCATTCAGCAAACACTGGCAGAAGTTCCCAGCTGCGTCCTGAGGAAGCAACATTGAGCACACCACAAACCCTACCCTCAGGGCTCACTGTCACACTTGACTGCACAGTGCTCCTGTCCCCCACTGCCAGTGTTCAAGGCCAGGTCTTAAAGAGGAATTGCCAACACCTAATTTTAGCCCAAATGAGATCCATGTCAAAACCAGAAAACGTGTTTCCCCTCCCAGCCGAATTTGTGGCAATGTCTGTACATGTCCTCAGCCGGCCATTCTGTCTGTCCCCAACTTCAGTGAGTGGCCCTGATGTCTCTCACCATTGTCCCTACCTGAAAGCTCTATTTGCGTAGCACAGGAAGTGAACTTTGGAGCATTC